CCCCAAAACCCCAAAACCCCAAAACCCCAAAACCCCAAAACCCCAAAACCCCATTTTTTTGCAAAATTGTTGAAAATTATAAAAAACATGGGATGTAGTAATGCAAGAACGGTTACAATAAAAGCAAATGGGACTGAATTGTTTAGCCAAAATCAGTCAGAAAAGGAAGCCAAACCAGGTGAGAAACAATGGTGCAGCCTGGTTAATGATAATTAGCCCAACTAAAATTAAGAGGAAGATCCAAGCTGACCCTGGCAGGGAAAACCCCTTTGATAAACAACCACAACTCAGTCGGGATTTAGGATCCAGAAGGTCAAAGTCTTCACAATATCGAGCAAATGAGGATATTCAGAAGAGTCAGTTTCTCGAGAGGCCAGATAAGAAGTTGATCTGTGGTCCTTTAAGAAGTACAAATGAGCTAATACGCAAGAACTGAAATAAAAATCACAGAAAAGTAGGCAATCTCCGGAAGGGAATTAACCAAAGGAATGACTTACATAACTCGAAAGAGCAAGAAGGATTTCCAAATGTTATAGAAAAGAGTGGAGATATCAACGCTTTAATCAATGATCTTGCTACTGATCAAGACAATAAGTTATACCAGCTAAGAGAGAATGGGCGATATCTCAAGAGCTCAGTAACTGTCAGTAGGCTAGAGGGCAATCTTGATGGCAGCGAGTTAATATTATTTGACCAAGAAGCTTCCTCTAATTTTGATAAATCAGCTGATATGAGGCTAGTCAGCAAAGAGGAATCAATAAACTACATAAAGTTCACCGAGAAAGGAATTGAAAGCTATGTTGGTAGCAAAAGTTTCTATCCTAAAAATGCGAGGAATGTAAGCCCTGCTTTATCGTCATTTGAATTCAAGAGCAAACATAGAGACACTCAGCAGGATAGCTGACGGAATTATGACCAGGAGCTTGATCGGTTATTAAGTTAAGATTATTTAGACTTCCAGTATTTTCTTATTTTATTAAAATATTCATGAACAAACTTTATATATAATTTTCAATATCCTTTTCAACGAAGGGGTTTTGGGGTTTTGGGGTTTTGGGGTTTTGGGGTTTTGGGGTTTTGGGG